TGGAATTTTTTTTTTTTTTTTACTAGCAATGGCGGCGATCAGCGACTTATAGCTGGACTAGGTGGGCATTCTGACACTGGAGGGGAGCTGACTAATAAAAAGCACTGACACTGTGCTAATAGCACTGGGTAGGAAGGAGTTAACATGTGGGACAATCAAAGGGTTAACTGTGGGCTGTTTCACAGTATGTTGTGTGTGTGATTTCAACTGTAAGCACACTGCTTTGTATGGCTCTCCTATGCAGAGTCATACAAACCAGTGTGCTGGAGCTGACAGGGGAGAGATCTGTATTGTCTACATACAGTTCTCTCCGCCGTCGGTAATACTCAGCGATCACCGGGTGCTGGTGAGTAATTACCAGCCGGGACCTGGTGATTGACAGCCGAGGCTGCAAATGGCGGCGCGGGTAGGGGTGCGCGCAACCCCTACCCGAAACTGATTTTGTGCACCCATGCCACCCTGTAGCCTACAGCTCCTACTGCTGTCTCTGAGCCATTGAGGAGGGAGAGAGCCAAGAGAGCTGCTGCTCTTATGCAAATCACTGGACCGAGATCAGGCTCAGTATGTGTTGTATGCACAAGTATGGGGGGGGGGGGGGGGGGTACTGCAGACAGGTTTTTTTACCATAACACAGAGAATGCATTAAGGTAAAAAAAAAAATGTCTTTAGAACCACTTTCTGCCTTTTCTGCATATTGAATACTCAGGCTCTGCTTACAGCTTTGCAGTGCTAAACAATGGTTGTGCTTTACTGCTTCTTCTCTCAATGCCTTTGTCTATGAGTTGCTCAGATCCTAAACCAATAAAAGAAGCATCAAACAAAAATTCATGAAGGAGTCTAAAACAGCTTTAATGATTCACAAAATAGCCAACGTGTTTCAGGTAGAGCATGCTTCCCACTTCATCAAGGCTCAGTAATGTTTGCAAGTGTTTAAATAGACGCATGGTAGCAGATGGAAGGAAAAATCTTAAACTTACTGATTGCAAAGAAATCAGATGAGGAAGACTTACACCAGTAAAAAGGTTGCAATGATGTGTTGACTGACTCCTTGAACACAATGTACTGCATGTTTGGTTGATGCGTTATGCCCACGGAAAAAAATATGTTCTCTTATGCAACTCTGTATAAGAAAAAAATCACATAGTCAAACTACTGGTAGGTGCTCTTAATTCGCCAAACCACTGCCAGAGTTTCCCAGCATTCCTGATATTTTCTGAATTTTAAAATTAGCACAGGGTTTGCATTTTTAGCAGCAGCCCCCCTTCCACTTGAGTTGCAAAGATGTACCTGGTGTAATCACCGCCCTGTCTTGTCTGTTGGGCAAAACAATGCTACCCAATTAAGTTGGCACCACACAGCAATCCCCTTGCAACTGAGTGTAATACATGCAGTTGCAGCATGGTGGTGCAGTATTACACTGTTAAAACAGACAGCAAGGAGGCAACATATCTCCTTATCTACCCAAGAAGGTACAGCTAGCTAGTCTAGTAGTCTTAGAGGGTGAATGGTGAAGGTGCCCAGTCATAGCTACACAGTCTGGCTGAAAAAAGACAAAAGTCCATCCAGTTCAACCATTAAAATAAAAAAATTTGAAAAAAAAAGTCAACTAGTAAGACTAGGCGCCCCACACAGTCCCTAGTCGAGGTGTCCTACACAGTTCCCTAGTCTAGGTGTCCTACACAGTTCCCTAGTCGAGGTGTCCCACACAGTTCCCTAGTCGAGGTGTCCCACACAGTTCCCTAGTCTAGGTGTCCTACACAGTTCCCTAGTCTAGGTGTCCTACACAGTTCCCTAGTCTAGGCGCCCCACACAGTTCCCTAGTCGAGGTGTCCCACACAGTTCCCTAGTCGAGGTGTCCACACAGTTCCCTAGTCGAGGTGTCCTACACAGTTCCCTAGTCTAGGTGTCCTACACATTCCCTAGTCGAGGTGTCCTACACAGTTCCCTAGTCTAGGTGTCCTACACAGTTCCCTAGTCTAGGTGCCCCACACAATTCCCTAGTCGAGGTGTCCCACACAGTCCCTAGTCGAGGTGTCCTACACAGTTCCCCAGTCTAGGCGCCCCACACAGTCCCTAGTCGAGGTGTCCCACACAGTTCCCTAGTCGAGGTGTCCTACACAGTTCCCTAGTCTAGGTGTCCTACACAGTCCCTAGTCGAGGTGTCCTACACAGTTCCCTAGTCTAGGTCGCCCCACACAGTCCCTAGTCTAGGTGCCCCACACAGTTCCCTAGTCGAGGTGTCCCACACAGTTCCCTAGTCGAGGTGTCCCACACATTTCCCTAGTCGAGGTGTCCTACACAGTTCCCTAGTCGAGGTGTCCTACACAGTTCCCTAGTCGAGGTGTCCTACACAGTTCCCTAGTCTAGGTGTCCTACACAGTTCCCTAGTCTAGGCGCCCTACACAGTTCCCTAGTCGAGGTGTCCTACACAGTTCCCTAGTCTAGGCGCCCCACACACAGTCCCTAGTCGAGGTGTCCCACACAGTTCCCTAGTCGAGGTGTCCTACACAGTTCCCTAGTCTAGGTGTCCTACACAGTTCCCTAGTCGAGGTGTCCTTACACAGTTCCCTAGTCGAGGTGTCCTACACAGTTCCCTAGTCGAGGTGTCCTACACAGTTCCCTAGTCGAGGTGTCCTACACAGTCCCTAGTCGAGGTGTCCTACACAGTTCCCTAGTCGAGGTGTCCTACACAGTTCCCTAGTCTAGGTGTCCCACACAGTTCCCTAGTCGAGGTGTCCCACACACAGTTCCCTAGTCGAGGTGTCCTACACAGTTCCCTAGTCGAGGTGTCCTACACAGTTCCCTAGTCTAGGTGTCCTACACAGTTCCCTAGTCTAGGTGTCCCCACACAGTCCCTAGTCGAGGTGTCCTACACAGTTCCCTAGTCGAGGTGTCCTACACAGTTCCCTAGTCTAGGTGTCCTACACAGTTCCCTAGTCTAGGTGTCCTACACAGTTCCCTAGTCGAGGTGTCCTACACAGTTCCCTAGTCGAGGTGTCCTACACAGTTCCCTAGTCGAGGTGTCCTACACAGTTCCCTAGTCGAGGTGTCCTACACAGTTCCCTAGTCTAGGTGTCCTACACAGTTCCCTAGTCGAGGTGTCCCACACAGTTCCCTAGTCGAGGTGCCCCACACAGTTCCCTAGTCGAGGTGTCCCACACAGTTCCCTAGTCGAGGTGTCCTACACAGTTCCCTAGTCTAGGTGTCCTACACAGTCCCTAGTCGAGGTGTCCTACACAGTTCCCTAGTCAAGGTGTCCTACACAGTTCCCTAGTCGAGGTGTCCCACACAGTTCCTAGTCTAGGTGTCCTACACAGTCCCTAGTCGAGGTGTCCCACACAGTTCCCTAGTCGAGGTGTCCTACACAGTTCCCTAGTCTAGGTGTCCTACACAGTCCCTAGTCGAGGTGTCCCACACAGTTCCCTAGTCGAGGTGTCCTACACAGTTCCCTAGTCTAGGTGTCCTACACAGTTCCCTAGTCGAGGTGTCCTACACAGTTCCCTAGTCGAGGTGTCCTACACAGTTCCCTATTCGAGGTGTCCTACACAGTCCCTAGTCTAGGTGCCCCACACAGTCCCTAGTCGAGGTGTCCTACACAGTTCCCTAGTCGAGGTGTCCTACACAGTTCCCTAGTCTAGGTGTCCTACACAGTCCCTAGTCGAGGTGTCCTACACAGTTCCCTAGTCAAGGTGTCCTACACAGTTCCCTAGTCTAGGTGTCCCACACAGTCCCTAGTCGAGGTGTCCTACACAGTTCCCTAGTCGAGGTGTCCTACACAGTTCCCTAGTCTAGGCGTCCTACACACAGTCCCTAGTCGAGGTGTCCCACACAGTTCCCTAGTCGAGGTGTCCTACACAGTTCCCCTAGTCGAGGTGTCCTACACAGTCCCTAGTCGAGGTGTCCTACACAGTTCCCTAGTCTAGGTGTTCTACACATTCCCTAGCCGAGGTGTCCCACACAGTTCCCTAGTCTAAGTGCCCTATGCAGTTTAGTTGACTAAGTCATTCTGTGGTTGACCGAACTCCACCTAAAATAGCCAACTTTCATGTTTTATACAGAAAATACCCTGTGAAACTGTTTTGGAAAGGCCTTGGATGCCCTTTTTATAACTGTGATATCTTACATAATCTGGGTAGTTATATAATGCCATCTACACACTGCTTGATACACTACTTTCATTAAATTGAACTCAGCGGCAGCAAAGATGGCTTATGGATTTCCAAACCTGGGAGCTTCAGTGTTAGACAGCCTCTTTCATAAAAAGAGAATTGAGGCAGAATATGGAGGAGCAGGCAAGAGCTTGCACTAGCAAAGGCTTAAAGGCATATTTCATTTTTAGCTTCCACTTCCTAATTTAATAGCTGCAATCCAGTCTGCAAGGAAAGCGGCTGGATGGCTGTAAATATTTATAATTAGAATATACTAATGGATTTCCTAGATTAGTAGGAATTATCCATAAGAAATCATTTATAAAGCATTTTAGCAGATGTGAAAAATGAAAAACATCTCAGTATTAAACCATTCCTCTGCAGACTGCTCGTGTATTGCATAAATTAGAAAACTGAGCAAAATTTGCCTGTGTGGGATACTTTATGACCTGTTTAAAGAAGATCTTTGGCAAATGTAACGAAAAATGTAATTTGTCCCATATATTTATATATGATGAGTATTTCTGGTAATTTAAAAGAAGCAACAGTCCAATTTAGTTTAAAATTTTTATGAGTTTCTTGCTGTTTTACATTTTGAATATCGTGGACTGATCTGCAAATGCCAGCTCTTGTAATCCATATCAGGGAATTCAATCACCATTCCTTTCTTTATGGAGAGTTTGTTGTTTTCATCAAGTCTTACATGTGCCAGGCAAGGTCATCCAGTAACTAGGATGAAAATGCCAGACTGACCCCTTCCTCTTCAAATGTTTTTATGCCAACAGTGTAAAGTATGGCCACGGAACTTTTTTTTACAGTGCAATACACAATTGTATGAATTGGCCAATAGACTAGTACAGGGCTTGAAATTTCCACTCGCCTGCTCGCCAATGGCGAGTGAAAATTATGGTGGGGGTGAGTGTGTCCCCCAGGACCGTCTTGCTGAGCAGGCTCGGAGCTCAGGCCGGATCTGTCACTGGCACTGGGAGCCGTCAGACTGCTCAATAGCTGAGCGCAGTGAAAGCAAAGCAAGGAGTGTGTGCTGTGCTCTCTGCCTCCCCCTAGAGTGCAGTACCCAGATCTGTGAAGGAACAACGAAGTACTGCAACTTTTTATGGGTGTGTGTGTGTGTGTGTACATGTTTGTGTGTGTCTGTGTATGCATGTACAATTGTACATGTGTCTGTGTGTATGTACATGTGTGTATCTGTACATGTGTCTGCGTGTATGTACATGTATGTGTGTGTGCGTGTGTACATGTGTCTGTGTGTGTATGTACGTGTGTGTGTGTGTTTGTGTGTATGTACGTACAAGTGTGTGTGTGTACATGTGTCTGTGTATGTATGTACATGTGTCTGTGTGTATGTACATGTGTCTGTGAGTGTGTATTTCTGTGTATGTACATGTATCTGTGTGTATGCGTGTCTGTATGTGTGTTTGTACATGTGTCTCTGTGCATGTGTGTACATGTTTCTGTGTGTGTATATGTGTGTGTGTATGTACATGTCTGTGTGTGTGTGTACAGGTGTCTCTGTTTGTGTGTGTTTGTTGGTGGCGAGTAACTCTAAGGCCTGGCTAGTAGCTCAGGACTTGAAATTTTAAGCCCTGGACCAGGGGCGGACTGACTATTTGGAAACTCGAGCACTACCCGAGGGCCCGGGGTCAGTAGGGGGCCCCATAAGATGCCCCTGGTACCTTTTTCATAGGCTTTTTTGAGTTTGGGCAAGGACACAGGGGCCCCCATGATCCCCTATTTCCCGGGGGCCCCATGAGTTGTCAGTCCGCCCCTGCCCTGGACTAGTATACAGCTGTGAACAGATGCCTAGAAGACATTGTGTGCATTATATTAGGTGCATGTGAATCAGCCTCTACTGATGTTTCTTTCCGTTTTGGATGACTTATGAGGAATTAAAACGTTGCTGCTGTCTGTGTACCCTCTAGGAAGATTTATTCTATTTGCTCTGGTGACTGCTGTCAGTGGCGAGGAAATTCATAGTTTTAAAGCGTAAATGTATGTAGATGTTTTTAAATCAGCAAAAGGGATGGTACTTACATTTAAAGAGGTGTCTCTTGTGCTGATGACAGATGTCCTAGTTGAAATCCGAAATCCCACCCCACACACCCCAACAGGACAGGCACTCATCAATAAAAAGCGATCTATGAATGGAGGAGGTGGACCTTTCATTCATCTGCTCTTCCTTCATTCATAGATAAAAGGTGTACTATAGCAAAAAGCTATCCATGGAGAAGGGACAGAAGGGACGGGTATAGTTTTGATGAGTGCCTGTGACAGGTCCCTTGGCTCTATTAACCCCTACAGTGCTTGAATATTTTGGTATGGGGTGGAGCAGGGGACAGAGGATTTCACCTATAACAGCTAGCACCAGTACAAGGAACACTTCTGATTGATGGTGTTGGTAGTATAGTGGTGAGCATAGTTGCCTTCCAAGCAGTTGACCCGCGTTCAGTTCCTGGCAACGCATATTTGTTTGGGCAGCACAGTGTCTAAATGGTTAGCACTGCTGCCTGGCAGCACTACTGTAAGGTTGTTGGCTTGAATCCCAACCATGGCACCACCTGCCTGGAGCTTGCATGTTCTCTGTGCCTGAGTGGGTTTCCTCTGGGAACTCCGGTTTCCTCCCACACTCCAAAGACATGCTGGTAGGTTAATTGGATCCTGTCTAAATTGGCCCTAGTATGTGTATGTATGAGTTTAGGGACCTTTGGTTGTAAGCTCCTTGAGGGTTAGGGACTGACGTGAATGTACAATATATATATATGTAAAGCGCTGCATAAATTGACGGAGCTATATAAGTACCTGAAATAAATAATAACTAAAGGAGAAGTTTGGGGTTTTGAAAAACAAACAAACATACATACTTATCTCTATGCTGCAGCTGTCTCCTGCCGGCTCTGACCCTGAAAACTGAGCAATCACATGACCACTCAGTTCTTGGTCTTGCTGGAGCAGAGAGTGGTGACTGTCAGTCACCGCTCTTTGCTCTGCTCTTCCAGCACTCACTGGCTGGAGACAAGGGCTCAACTGGCCACTATCTGAGTTCTTGAGCCTGCTGTCAGTCAGGCAGATGGGTGGATCCCGAAATTATTGTCAGGATCCTTCCAGAGAATAGAGCAACTCTGTGATGACAGCTGGCTGCCTGCTAATGGCTGATACTGGATCACAGGAGAGCAAAAGTGCACTTCTCTGACCGAGAAGAGAAGCATAACCAAAAAAAGCTTTGGTCATACTTCTCTTTGAATATAAGTAAAATCACTTATGCTAATTGTTTTAAAACTGAGGCTTTAAGCTTAGAATAGAAATAAGGGAAATAAGAGAAAAATCTTCCAGGGACATCTGTCTTTGAGGAAGTTACCTTACGTAGGAGAGATTTTCTCTCATTTCCTTTTGGGTCTAAAAGACAGGAAGTGAAGAAAAATCTTTTGAATGGGAAACAGATAGCAAAAAAAAAGGCGGGTTTAAAGTATTCCCTACTCTAAATGTAGAATGTAGAAATCCTTTACAGCAATGTTCCACCTTCTTAGCAAGATTGATAATTAGAGCAGGACAACAAAACCTGCTTTGTAACTTGTATTCATTAACCACTTGAGCTCCAGAGGATTTACCCCCCTTAATGACCAGGCCTCTTTTTGCTACTCGGCGCTGCACTAATTCAACTGATAATTGCACGGTCATGCAATGCTGCACCCAAACTAAATTTACGTCCTTTTTTCACACAAAAAGAGCTTTCTTTTGATGGTATTTGATCAGCTGTGCGCTTTTTATTTTTCACGCTATAAACAAAAAAAGGCCAAAAATTTTGAAGAAAAACAATATTTTTTACTTTCAGCTATAAAAAATATATAGTAAACTCAAAGTTGGTTATAAAGTTAGGCCAAAATGTATTCTGCTCCATGTTTTTGGTAAAAAAAATCCCAATAAGTGTATATTGATTGCTTTGTGTGACAGTTATAGCGTCTACAAACTATGGTATAGATACTGCAATTTACACCATTTTTTTGCTATACAGCGCTGTGCTAGTTTAACGGACAATTGCGCAGTTATGCAATACGGTACATAAATTAAATTTACATCCTTTTTTTCCCCACAAATTAAGCTTTCTTTCGGTGGTATTTGATCGCCTGTGTGGTTTTTATTTTTTGCGCTAAAAAAAAAAGGCTGACAATTTTGAGGAAAAAAAACAATATTTTGGACTTTTTGCTATAAAACATGTCCAGTAAAAAAACAAATTTAAAAATCAAATTTAGTCATAAATTTCTGCCAAAATGCATTCTGCGACATGTCTTTGCTAAAAAAAAACCCAATACGTGTAAATTAATTGGTTTACGTGAAAGTTATAGCGTTTACAAATGGCGGGAAAGATACTGGGATTTTTAGTTTTTTTTTATACTAATAATGGCGGCGATCAGCGACTTATGGCGGCGATCAGTGACTTATGGCGGGACTGTGGGACATTGGGGGGTACTGACTTGGGGTCACTGACATCCCCAGTGACACCAATACAGTGATCAGTGCAAAAAAAAACAAAAACACTGACACTGTACTAATGGCACTGGGGAGGAAGGGGTTAACTTTATTTTGCAGGGAAGGGTTATTTGAGTGAGGGGAGTGTTTTACTAGGGGGGCGGGGGTGTGTACTGAAGGGAACACCACTGATCGGGAGAGGGAAACTCTTCTGTCCTGGTCAGCGTGTTCTCAAGCTGTCAGGGAAGTGACAGATAGCACAGCTACTGCAGCTGTGCTCTCTGTCACTGATTGCCGCCAATCGCCGGGTCATAGCCGGTAAGGACCGGCTGTGACCTGGCGACTGACATCCGCAGCTGTGATCGACGGGACAAGCAGGGTGGCGGCACGCCTCGCGCGCGCCCCCTACCTGTTTACAAAACACACGTTTTAAAACGTGGTTTTGCCTGCCCGTGCCGCCCTGCTGCCGTATTTCTACAGTGGCAGGGCGGCAAGTGGTTAATCATGTTGTTGCTTGACCCACGGACAGCTATAAATATTGTAAAAAGTCAGCTTTAGAAATCAATCGACACATTCACAATTGACCAAAATGTACATATTTTAAACTGGGCGTAATATCATTCAATAGCCTTTAGGTTAGTATAGGAAACAAAATCTGTAACAAATGGTTTTTCTATGACATTTAGGATGTCACTGTTTACCCTTGCAATAACAAATTTGTCATTAATTACTGTCTAAAACCTTTAGATTCAATAAAGCCCAGTTAAATCTTTAAAGGAAATTATAAAAATGTATTCAGGGTACAAATATAATCAGGAAAAAATGATTTCCCTGCAGTACACTGCATAGAGGACCATTGTGAGATGAGCATCAGTCCTCTGTGCAATGGTCCAGCATGCCCCTTGCTGTGTCAGACCTACAGCTCTCGAGTCAACATAACTTGCTGTCCTCAAAGCACAGTGATCCTATTTGCAGCATAGTGCAAGAAGGAGCAAGAGTTCCCCGGGGAGTAGGGAGAATGAGCTTTGCTGACTGCAGAACTATAGCTTTGACTCAGTAGGGGGGGGTGTTAAATCTCTGCAATAAAATCACTCCAGAGAGCAAGCATCATACTCTGTTGCTGCTGCTGGCAGAGAATAAACTTTTCTATTTAGGCTGTAGAAGCTTAAGAAAAAAAAATGTATTCACATGGGCTGCCAAAGGGCAGTAAAAACTCATGGCTAAACCGTTTTACCGCCCTCTGTCCACCAAGCTAAATTCTTCTATTGCAGCTAGACAGGGCTGTACACAAGCTGCAGCTGTGATGCTGTGCTTTGTAGCTGTGACAATCTTAACTCGGCTTGCAGATTTTGACAGGCGGCACCACCTGTGAAACATGCCTGTTAAGGTAAAGGCCACAACCATGAGCCGCAATCATAGGTAAATGCCGCAACTAGAAGGTAAATAAAAGCCGCAACCATGATGAGCCGCAGTCACAGGTAAATGCCGCAACTAGAATGTAATGCCGCAACCATGAGCCGCAATCATAGGTAAATGCCGCAACTAGAAGATAAATGCCACAACCATGAGCCGCAATCATAGGTAAATGCCGCAACTAGAAGGTAAATGCCGTAACCATGAGCCGCAATCGTAGAAAAATGCCGCAACTAGAAGGTAAATGGCAGAACCATGAGCCGCAATCATAGGTAAATGCCGCAACTAGAAGGTAAATGCCATAAGCCAAACACAAGCCCATGGTTGCAGTATTTTTTTTTTAAATCCCATGGGGGATTTTATTTTAAAAGACATGCAGAAGCTAACATGATCGCTTTCTGAATGCCTGAAAGCTGCTGCTCTGCAGCCCTCTGAAAAGTGATCCACAGGTAGGTGGTAGACACTGCTGCCAGTATAAAAAACACCCAAGGGCTCATGTACACTGCAGCTGCTAAAACTGACATTCAGGAGCTGTTAAGCGTTTTTTTTCAGCAGCCCCTGAACTCTCCTTTATGTTTTCCTATGTGTCCATGTACACAGTCGTTTATTATTATTATTATTATTATACAGTATTTATAAAGCGCCAATAGTTCACTCAGC